CCTCCCCCCCCCCCCGCTGTCGTGATACATTCGCCGCCCTGTGACCATTACTAACGCAGGCGATGGTAGAGACCAACATCCAGAAGAACCTTGTCGGGAGCGCCATGGCCGGTGCCCTCGGCGGCTTCAACGCCCACGCCTCGAACATCGTGACCGCGGTGTTCCTCGCCACCGGACAGGACCCCGCACAGAACGTGGAGTCCAGCACATGCATCACGCTCATGGAGGAAATGGACAACGGCGACCTTCTCGTAAGTCAGTCGTCAAAACGNTGTACGGGGGAGGAGGGGGGGGGCGTCATTACACATCCCGATGATTAGGAGTTGCTGTAAGATGGCGTGATCATCATGCCGGCATCGTGAGTCAGTCGCCTTTACGGGGGGGGGGAATTGTCGTTACATATGCCGATGATAGGTGTTGCTGTATGATGGCGTGATCATCATGCCGGCACCAGCGAAGGCATGCCTTTGGCTGCTACTGGTACTGTTGGCATTGCTTGTGGTCGATTATGTGCCGACCACCATGGTGTTGATTGCTATCCCGATGACACGCTGTATGATGATGATGTCGTGATCGGGATGCTGACGCTGCCAATGTCGAGCCCTGTCTCGCAAGCGGACGTGCGATACCAAAATATTCATTTTGCTGTTTTCCTCTACGGCCACAGACGCGTAGCAGTCGCTTTCTGTTTGCCGGCGTCTTGTCTCCTTGGTGAGGTCCGTGTCACCTCACGTGCATCTGCTTCTATCACGTACACATGGTGTTCATACACACACAAAAACGACTTTGTGTTGTTTTGTTTATCCCAGGTGTCGGTAAACATGCCGTCAATCGAGGTCGGCACCGTCGGCGGCGGCACCAGCCTGCCAGCACAGGCGGCGTGCCTGGACATTGTGGGCTGCCGAGGGGCGACCCAGGCGCCTGGCCGGCCTGGGGAAAACGCTCAGCAAATGGCCAAGTGAGGCTTCTTTCTTCTTTTGCCCGGTGGCCGAATATTTTTCCATGCTTGTTTTTTTTTGTTTTGCTGTGCTTGTTGTCTGGTGTTGTGTTGTTGCTATCCCGCGAGTGTAGTGATTAGTACCGGCCCTGGCGTGGTGAAACTCCTTTGGCGCAAAACTCTTGCGTAGCGAGATTTTAGACAGGCTGTGAGACGCCTTGGCACAAGGACGATTGGGACTTCCTCGCCTCACTGCCATTCCGCAGCCGCGGAGAACCAATTACTCGTAAGAACGTGTGTATTTCTTCTTTCAAATCTCGTCATGACGTGTACCAAGTATTACCGACTCTTTATCCGCCGTCATCGTTGCCCCCGTCGTCTCTCTTTCTCTCTCTCTGTCTCTCTCTCTCTCTCTCTCTCTCTCTCTCTCTCTCTCTCTCTCTCCACCCCCCCGTACTCTCGGTCGTCGTGATTCAGGGTTGTGGCCGGCGCTACCCTGGCGGGAGAGCTGTCCCTGGTGGCTGCCTTGGCATCCAACCAGCTCGTGCGTGCCCACATGCAGCACAACCGCAAGCCGCAGGTCCCGTCATCCACATGACCGCCTTCTAAATTTTCCGCCCGCGGCGGATACAACGAGTGCCGACCCCGACACCACTAACAAAAATTCCGTGATTTTGACGGCCCTCTCATCCTTCTTGCGAGGAGATTGGTTCCGGAGGCGTGTTTCGTGTTGGCTGCGGTAGATTTTCAACAACGTAGACGGCGTCGGCATGGCCGTGGTGTAGACGAGTCGCGACTGCAAAACGTTTTTGGACGAGGTTCGGAGCTGCAACAGCGTCAGGCGTCGGCGGCAGGTCAGGCTGTTAGCTGCCTGTCTTCGGTGTCTCGCTCATCTTGGGGTGAGGATAGGAGAGGGAATGGGAGAGTCGGGGGGTGGTTCTTTGCAACTGTAGAAAGTTTCGCGCGTGTAACGGGCGTTGGTTTCAGTGCTGTTCGTCTCTGTTGTATCAACAATAGTGTTTTACGCTTCGGTATCGGAAGGGGGTCGATCGCCTCATCGTGCGCGTGTCGTGGACGATGTCGGCCATCGGGTGCACGGGGGATGCCGCCGTTTCATCAGCGAACATTTTCGCTGCTCTTGAACATCGCCGTATACGCACGGGTGTCGGTGATGACCGACCTTGCCTTACTGCCAAGGGACCGCGGTTCGGCATCACGGAAGGCACAAACCACAGGTCCGCGGGCGATCACATTCGTGTGTTTGGCCCCACCGCCCCACTCTCTCGGTCTCTAGTTATCCCCCTTGACATTCCGGCTGAGGCCCTATGTGTTCGACTTCTGCGAATCAAGTGTGGGGCGGGGGGCGGGGGCATGTTGCGATGCTCCCCTCTAGCTTCGAGCAAGACCATGTGTGTATGTCGGGATCATTCTCGCGTTCTGAACTCGTGCCAAGTGAAGCTTTCACTGTCGAGAGTGCGGTAGCGTCCACGCACAAGGGCTCTCTATTTCATGGTAATTTTATCCTCCACTAAAGCCAGCCAGTCCGCGCACCGTCCTTGGGCGTGGGACTGCTGTCATACGTAGAGCTGTAGTGTTACTCGTGCTCGCCGTTGTGGAACCTTGCAACAGGTACTGCATATGTATTATACATATGCTGTTGCGTGTGTGCCCACCTCATATCTCTGCTTTGTTGGAGGAAGTTGCGTTAGTTTGTCTTTCGAGTTCATGTTTTGTTTCCATCGACCTGGTGTTCCGCCTTTTTTTTTGTTGTCGGGGCCTCCTGCTGCAACCTTTTCTTCTGGAACGATACTCGTTTTGGTGTTGAACAATATTTGAGAGTAGCCTATGCCGTTTTGAGAAAATCTGCCGTTACGGGGTTCAACAGCACCGCCTCAGCCGAGCGGGACCTAACTGCTGTGTACGGCTCTTTGCTTTAAATCGAAGATTTACGGCCGTGTTTTGGAAGTGGCTGAGCACACGACGGTGTACGAAGTGGTGTTGTGACGTGCGGAGAATTCCTTGCGTTTCTGGCGATAAATCGCCACGTGGGGGCAGTGAAAAGCACTCGTTTTTGTTGTTCGCCCGACATGACGCTTCACGCTTTGCCTTACCGTGCATGTATGCATTGGTGGCGGAAAAAGAAACAAATCTGTTTGGGCTGCAGAATTGATTCTTTGGGAGTCGCTTCTTGTTCAGCGCTTGGTGGCGGCGATCCTGCACGCCAATATCGCTGCTGTTGTGTGCGTTTGCGAGTTGCGAGTTTTTTGCTAGGTGAGGATGTGGGGCGGGCGGAGATTTCTCGCAGACGAAAAAACAGGTGATGCAGCAATACAAAGGCGCCGAGCTAGTTAGAGGTGTTTGCCTCTCATTTTTTCCGCGTTTGCGTGCCGTTTACATGGAAACCTAATTTTGCGCAGGTTATGAAATCATGGTGCAGAACGCCAACTCGTTACATGTGGATGAAGGGGGGGAGAGTATGAATAGTTCGCCCTTCAAATCAGGCCTGTATAAATATGGCGTGAATGAAGACGGCATTACGATATTAAGGTATATCCGTCACACGGTGCAGGAGAAACAGGCGTTTAAGTAGGTCAAGTAGCAGAGCGAGGTTCCCTTGCGAACTTTACGCCACTGGTGCAAACTGTAACATCAGTACACTTTCGGTACAAGAATTGGGCAGGAGCAACGAATTGGGGTGGCAGGGGTATATCGCTAGGTCAACTTGGCGTGGTTACGCTTCAACTTTATTTGTTTTGCGCGCACACAGCGCTACGCCATCCGGACAGTCGGAGATTCTGAGTCTGATTGGAGGTGGGGGGGATGGGGGGATCATAGAGGAGGAAAGTATTCGGCACGTTAACACTATTTGTGTGGTACTAGCCGGATGGTGTTTTCTGGTGGTGGAGTAGCAGTCGCAGCTTCACTTGTGTTTTTCAATGGAACGAAGCAATCTGAAAACGATTGATACATGCACATGTCTTGGTTTACCTTTCTGTTACTAAAGCCACAATTTTTCGCGCGCTTTGTCTCTGCATTAACGACAAGTGTGTGCCAAATGTGCGCATCTTTTTCGGGGAAGTATTGTAGCCTGTGGCGACGGAAGACGTTGCTTCAGTTGAGTTGTGTGTTACATGACTTCTAGGCAGAGATCGGAACGGTGTGCACCGCGTACATAACCAACCACGACCACCAACAAGACTACACACACAACTCTGGAGCAATTAAATGATCATTTGCTATAAATTGCCCGCTTTGATCCGAGGTCCGCCCTCCTTTGATCATTTGAAAAAATTATGATTTGCTAGAGAGCGTCCGTGCCCTCTGACAGATTCGGCAAGCACCCTCCCGTACTGCTTGAACGTCCGGACATCGTGCCCCACCATACAGATGACACCCAATCCGCTCTGAAGGCCAGACGCCACGTCTCGTTCGGGGTACTGAATGCCGACGAACCAGCGAAGGCCCACAGAGAAAGTAGCAGACAACACAAGGGAGTGCTGCCGTACTACCCATCCATACCCATTGCGTGCCTTCCCGTGGTGACTCACAGCATGTCCAGAGTGTTTTCCCGTGAGTAATATGATTGGTGGTACCGGTATGTATAATTTTTTTTCTCCGGGACCGGGGGCCTTCCACGCGTGCTTCTCCTGTGGACTTTGCCCAATATGCAGCCCTTAACCACCCAGGAACCAGTGAAGTAATTATGTTCGCCAGTTGTCTCGAACGGCCACGCACACTACCATACACCTAGGTAGCAACGACCAAAGACTTCGTTGTAAAGTAGAAGTTTGGTATCACAGTGTTGTCCGAGCTCGTTTGATCTACGGAGAGCATGCTTGTGCAAAAACATACAACGATGACAACGGTGGCGTCGTTGCAGGGTGGTCATCAACTCGACTGGGTGCGGCCCGACAACGCGAGACAACTTTCTTACAGCACTCGCTTGAAGCATATTTCCGGAATCTTGTACCACTAGAGTAGTCGCTTTCCTCGGAACAACAAGATCGTCAGCTCGCATCTATCTGCGGATCGCGCCTGTTACTCTCATCGCCAAGCGCGAACAAAACCCAGAATGCAAGCAGACACGTACAATATGTACAACAGCTGTAGTTCAGGGAAGGCGACGACCAACACATGAAACGTCACGCAACCTTATCCGGGACGAGGGATTTACCGTCAGCACCAAACCACTGATGCTCGTATTGAGCTATCGTATCTCGCCCCTTTCGTGAGGGGAACAACGCAGATAAAGGGCAGGCAAATGACAACGAGAGGAAACAAACAACGCTAATCATATACTAGTATGTATGAGATCAAAAACACATCGTGTACGTTCGAGTACTTCACGCGTGACTTTTGATTTCGAGCCGTGGCACAACCGTTAGCGTTCCGCCCGTTGTAGTTTATAGTGCAGCGAGCCAAAGCCTGCTTGGAACGAAATATTATCCATCACGTACATATGTCGTGGTTAAGGGTACTTGCTGTTTTGCATGACAGTGATGTGCAGCTCCTCGTCCCCGGAACAAAATCAAAACACTCTCTCTCGCCAAACCGCCTGCAAAATCTCTATTCCCCCCCGCCGCGTTCCACAAAAATTATACGTATATACCCCCCTGATACTTTGCAGCAGACCATAATATTCCAAGACGCATGCTGTGCTCCTTCCAACGCTATGACTTCCGTCACCCTCCCCCTGCAGCACGTGCACTACGCCCAAAATCATCTCAACAATAGTGTGTCACACATTCTCTCCAACGGGCTTTGTTTCATGGTTCCCACATGGTCGACCTCCCGTATGCACAACCCCGTCACCAACCGCACCGAAACAAAGCACCCCCGGCTTGCAACAACAGTGCTCACAGCAGGGCCAAATATATACAGCGGTAGACCCCAATGGACAAGCCATTCCCGATGGGTCAAATCCACAGTCTCCCGAAGCTCGCCGGCGCCATCCAACCCAAAAGGCCAGACCGATGACGTCACGCCCTTCGCACCGACGACGGTGACCTCGCGGCCCAACATCACGGCTCGAGAAGAGAAGGCAGTGCCAGAAAGGTGCGTGCCCGAATCGGTTTCCACTAAAGACGCCCCCCCCCCCCCCCCCCCCCCCCCCCCCCCCCCCCCCCCC